ATGTGTGTCTTAGCTATTCATGATGTAACTTCTTTTTAAATTTGACTATAATATTAGCAATTAAACGCAAAAGTGGTGTATGCCCTTTTAGCAGAATGAAATTAACTGGATTACAAAATTTTTAGTGGATGCAAGGTACTAAGATTTTTACTATATACCATGTTTTCTACAAAAAGAATATTCCACATTCTATAACAAAGAGAGTCGGTGAACTTCATTGTTTCAACAAACAATGTAAAACTCTGTTTATCTCTCACAAACATAAATTGACTTTCACCGATTTTGCTTCAAATGGCTCATACTTCAATTTTGATGCTTGTTTCATAATAAATGCTACACTTATAAAGGAACAAATGAAAAGATGTCATAAAAGAAAACTTCATGATCAGAAAACAAATATTACAACAAATTACTATATTTTATTTTTAGATAGATCTTTCATCTCTAACATGTTATAATTAAAAACATTTCTTTCTATTCTCTGCTGTTACAAATTCTTCAATGATTTCATCACAATTAAGCTGTGGAACACTATCTACTTCCGTCCATAATAAGGATAATGAATCAAGTCTTTCTTGTGATCACTGTTGTATGCTGAGGGTTTTTGAGTCTCTTTAGAGATGAAAATGAGCATTCTGTTGTGCAGTCTGTGATCATGAAAGTTAGGAATATGTGTAAAACAATTTCAACATTGGGAAATATGCATCGTATTTTACCTTCTATTATGGAATCATACATGCCTACATGAGTAAAATTTGTCTTCCCTGGATCTGTAAACTTAGTTCTCATGTAAGAATGAAATTTTCGCACTTCTCTGTAAAGGTTTGTATTTAAGTCATCGGGATAAGCCTGCACTAATTTCTTGGATGCCTTCATGCATTCTTCATCAGGTATAGCCACATTATTTAAGAAGGAAAATCTATTTGAAAGAACTTCATATACTTTTACCCTTCTTTTCACGCAAGATTCAAGTGTGTCAATGATGGTGTAGTATGTGGTTACTTAAAATTGATCTCCGGCACTCAATGATATTTCTGGAGCACTTCCTTCATTGACTTGTTTCTTTTTAATGCTTCTGCAACAGCGAACTGCTTGATAATCAGAATCTGGCAGTATTTGTTCTGTTTTGTGTTTTCAAAATCTTCTCTTAAATTATGTAAATACCCTGTTAATGACTGGTAGAGATCTGTGCATCTCTTTAAATTGACTTCTGAATCTTGGAAAGCTTGAATCATCCGATGAAAATGCTGCAATGTATTATTTCATATAACTAATATAAATACATACTCAAGTGTTTGCATTTTGTTGGCAATGTTTTCAGCTTTTCTTTTGGCATCTCCTTTTTATGTCTAGTCTTCAGCAATATTTTCTAAGGCATCGAGAATCTGAGTGTACGATTCCAGGACTGCACTAGTTGCCACAGCATGCACTTCCCAACGTGTATTACAAAGACATTTTAACACTCGATCATTGCCTAAATGTGTTTTAAGAACTGCCCAACGGTTAGTAGAGGTGGCAAAAAATGTGTACAGTAAATGAACAGTAGAAAAAAAAATCAACTGCTTCCAAATAACAATCTACTGTGCTACGTGTACGTCCTACAAGATTAAGTGAATACGCAGCACATGGTATAAAAATGGCATATTCATTATATTCTGAAATTTTCTGTTGCATACCTTTATGACGCCCTGACATACTGGCAGCATTATCATAGCACTGGCCTCTACACTTAGAAAAATCAGTTTTGACATCTTCACATAAATAGTAAAGTACTTGATCGGCAATTTCTTCACCGGTATGACTTTTTAAGCTGGTAAATGTGGTACATTGCTCAACAAGTTTTCCATCTGTTGGAGATTTGTATCTTAAAGCAATACTTAGCTGATCTGTATGAGAAAGATCAGGAGTGGAATCTATAGACAAACGGAAATATCGAGCTATTCTTATTTCACTGAAAATACTCAATCGAACTTTATCACTTATTAAGTTTATTAATTCTTCACACATTTTAGACATATATGATGGGTTGCCCTTTCGTGTGTTGCCACATTTTGAGATGTAACCTGCTTAAAATGGATCAAACTGAGCAACAAGTTCAAGTAAACCCCCAAAATTTCCATTTTGTGGAGACCCAAACACTTCATTTCTTCCTTGAATAGATAGTCCACATTCAGCGATTGTTATAGTGACAGCAACAACGCATTCGTTGCAAAACAAGGTTCCAATACTGATGTTCTTCATTAGTTTGTGTTTCTAGTTCATGAATTACGCCAAAATCATGTCTTTGGTTTAAATATGACAACATACAATCTCTGTGAATTGAATTGTTTTCATGTTTACCAGTCATAATCAAATTGTGCCAATCGCTAAATCCATCTGTAGCAAATTGAAATGAAATGATTTAGGACTGAATAGTTTGTCAACAAAAAATATACACAGCTGACTGATGGATGATACAGTCACCACTCCCTTTTATAATTTTCACCATTAGCTTTGCATTCTAGAAATATATTCTGGCTACAGAACTTTGTTCTGGCTATAGAACAAACGTTTACCATCCAGAAATTTTCGACAAGAATTTTCAAATGGTCCACTGTGATGTTGACAATCACTTGGCCCTCTTTTGGTCCAATGATTTACATCATTAGAAGAAAAATTGTTCCACAAAGCAGAATCTGTATTTCTGTTATTTATGGGGTCTGCAGACGTGACAATGTCAGATTCTAAAATAATTTCACTTTCTACACCACTATTATATTTTTTCACTACAGCAAGGAATAGATGCTGAATTTGGAACAAATTCTGTTATATTTGTATTGCTATTAGTAATTTCAGCACTAGTGATATGAATACACGATTTGTACCCATTAAACTCCAGAGTTCAGTGGGAGAAGTCTCTTCTGATTCATTACGTTTTAAAAAGGAAGTTAATTTTGCAGTTGTCTTTAGGGATTCGCAAATCCTTTTCTTTTTATCTTCTGTGAGCTTTTATTTCTGTGCTCCACTTAGTTGTTGTCATTTCATTTTACCTGGATATAAAATTATGTCACTGTTTAAATTATTTCTACCACAGTGATGTCACTAGGGTTGGTGTCACCCAGTGTGGTAACTCATGGTGTCACCCCCCCCATGAACTTAATTACCACAATATTGTAGCTAAAACACCAGAAATTTTGACAAAATCAGCAATTATAAAAACACTGGCAGTAACAAAAACAACAGCACGTGCTTATATCATGTGTAGATGAAACCATGCTGTTCAAAGAGTCATTGTAATTGGGTAATAAGGACAGCTCTGACTGGAGTGTATTAGAAGGTTCAAAAAGTAAATTAGCATAGAGTTTTAGCCTTGTCAATATATTGATACATGTAAGCTGGGCTTACAAAAAATGTTTTTGTTGTTATAACTACAGGGATATTTTATAAAAAATAATAAATTTCTGCTGAAACACTGCACAAAAATTTTATAGACAGTCATTTTGGTGTCACCCTCTATGACAGTGTAATCTGGTGTGGTCTGAACTGCCCCCACACTCTAGTGACACCACTGTTCTACCGTAGCAAATAAACTTGAATACTTGAAAATAAAATTTATAAAACAAGTAATATTTATAAAATAAAATTTACATTCGAGTTTGTACGTTAACACACAAATTTATATTTGAAAATTAGTAAGTAAAAAAATTGATTTGGAACATATGATTGTGTTCTTCAGGTCTGGAATAATCAAAATAAATAGTATTTACAAGGCAGTCGGAAATAATGTCACCCGTTTGTCAAACAATGTTTGCAGACCCTTCCCAGATCTCCACGAGTGTTTTTTGTCTTGAAATAATGCTTAAAACTTGCACACTCACCTTTCCTCCTTTCATGATGCATCTTGACACTTCATTGGACTACAGTACTGCTGATAACCAACGGGGGCGAGAACGATCGAAAAGAGCATGATACAAATAAAACGATACGCTCAATCTGAAGATGAGTTTCGGTTCCCTTTATACAGGACCAGATACCATCACGAGTTACGTGATGATAGTGCCACTGGTGGGCTATTATGTGGTCAGTGGTGAATGAGTGAGAGAACTGAATATGAGGTTATGCCCGATCGCTCTCAAATGAAAAGGAAAATATCATTGTTATCATATACAAATTTATAAAATGGTATCAATTTCCTTTAGTGCCCTGACAGTCCCTTCCAGTTCAGCACTCACTTTTCCTTGTGTCCTGTCTGCCTGGCATCTCTGGAACTTTGCTTTGGACAACCGATGCCCCTCTTTTGTTGATGTCCTCAGGACGGCTTACTTTGCTTATTGGGTAATCAGTCCCTGGTTAGAACCCACATTCTTTTCCGTTAGCAGCCAAACCTTAATTGTTGTGCCACCACATGTATAATGGTATGTTTAAATATATATATATCTACACACACACACACACACACACACACACACACACATATATATCTGGTTCCCTATGTTAAGAGCTTGGCTGCTAACCAAAAGGTCAGCAGTTGGAATCCACCAGCCGCTCCCTGGAAATCCTGTGGAAATCCTGTAGGGTGGCTATGAGCCAGAATCGACTGACGGCAATAGGTTTGGTGTTTTTTTTTTTTTTTTTTTAAATGGCCCTGACCAGGCTTGGTTCTCTAATAGGTTGGTTAACCTACATTAGAATCACAAGAGGAGCTTTTAAAATACCCAGTGCACCAGATTTTAATACATCTGGTGCGGAGGAAAACGGCGAAGTATAGACCTCAGCCCTCCGAAGAATTTTCCCCCGGGGTTGAAAATCACGCGTTAAAAGGGCTTTCCTGGGGCCAGGGTAGGCGGGAACGCAGAGGTGGGGCCTAGCAGTCACATGGTTTGAAGCCTGAGGTCAAGGCTCTCAACAACGTGACCAGAGTGACCGACCAGAGAGTTGCGAAGCCTCCGCGGCTCCTAGAGAGGACGCGAGATGGGGGCGCTCGGCGCGGTGTGCGGAAGTAGGGGCAGCGAGAGGCGCTGGAGGCCACCCGACTCTGAAGCAGTGAGCCTTTCCTCTTCTCACCCTCTGGCCCCTGGGTGAGGGTGGGAAGAGGGGCGTCTGCTTGGCTCCTAGTCCTGTCCAGAACCCGAGGAGGGGAGCTCAGCTTCCTTGGCCACCGCAGGTAGAAATAAAAGACCACGCTGAGGACTTCCCAGAGGAGGCGGCGCGGCAAAAGGTCGGAAGTGCAGAGCAGGTGTGGGGAGAAAGTAACTAGTCGAATGGGAGGGTCGGTGACGTGGGGAAGCCACGGTGGTTTCCGCAACGCTAGAAATCGCCAAGCTTAAGGGGAAACTACAGGGCATTTACGAAGGGTCTTCATGGCCTGTGGCACGGTCTTTTTAATATTTTCGGCGGTGTCAGGTCTTCAGCATGGAAGAGGAACAAAGTCCGATGAATAAATGACTGGTTAGTACTATTGTTTGCTTTTGTTATAGGGGGAAGACCGAGATGTGATTGTAAATTTAAGATGTTCACAGTATTCTGAAGTAGCATTTAGATGATGCTGTGATGTTGTTGTTGTTGTTAGGTGCCGTCGAGTCAGTTCTGACTCGTAGCGACCCTTACGTACAACAGAACGAAATTCTGCCGGATCCTGCACCATCCTCACAATCGTTGCTATGTTTGAGCCCATTGTTGGAGCCACTGTGTCAATCTATTTCGTCCAGGGTCTTCCTCTTTTTCACTGACTTTCTACTGAGCATGATGTCCTTCTCCAGGGATTGGTCCCTCCTGACAGCGTGTCCAAAGTATGTGAGACAAGTCTCTCCATCCTCGCTTCTGAGGAGCATTCTGGCTATACTTGTTCCAAGACAGATTTGTTTGTTTTTCTGGCAGTCCATGGTATATTCAATATTCTTTGCCAACACCGTAATTCCAAGGCATCAATTTCTCTTCAGTCTTCCTTATTCATTGTCCAGCTTTCATATGCATATGAGGCGATCGAAAATACCATGCACCTTAGTCCTCAAGGTGACATCTTTGCTTTTTAACATTTTAAGAAATCTTCTGCAGCAGGTTTGCCCAATGCAATATGTTGTTTGATTTCTTAACTGCTGCTTCCATGGGTGTTGATTGTGGATCCAAGTAAAATGAAATCCTTGATAGTGTCACTGTTTTCTCCGTTTATCATGATGTTGCTTATTGGTCCAGTTGTGAGGATTTATGTTTTCTTTATATCGAGGTGTGATCCATACTGAAGGCTGTCGTCTTTGATCTTCATCAGCAAGTGCTTCTAGTCCTCTTCACTTTAAGCAAGCAAGCTTGTGTCATCTGCATATCGGAGGTTGTTAATGAGTCTTCCTCCAATCCTTCTTCATATAGTGATGCTGACTTCCAAGTGCACAGTGCCAGGTTCACGATAAAAATCTGTTGCCATAGAGTCAATTCCAGCTCATAGTGACCTTATGGGACAGAGTAGAACTGCCCCACAGGGTTTCCAAAGCTGTCAATCTTTATGGAAGCCAACTGTCACATCTTTCTCCTGAGAAGAGCTGCTGGCTGGTGGGTTCAAACCACCAATCTTTCAGTTAACAGCCGAGTGCTTAACCACTGCGCCACCAGGGCTCCTTGTGTTTCACAATAGATATTCAATAAATATAGTTTAGGTAATGAAAGGGATGAGGCCCCTGCTGTAGCCTTGGAGCTGTTGTTGAAGACTTACTGTGTAGTTCCTCCTTGCTTAAGAAGCAGGGTGGGACTTCCAAACAATATTTTTAGGGAACTGGTGCTGTATGTGAGGGCTTTCTTTAAAATGCGTTTACATGGAGAAAGGCCATTTCTTTAGTCTCCCCACTGCACCATCTGACTTATGATCCAGTGCTGGGTTTAGCCTAAGCAGAGCGGAGACTTCCTGTTCACGAACAGTTGTTCTTCAGTAAACCCTCTCAGCTCAAAACGTAATTTGAGTTAAATTTCTTTCTTTCTTTTTTTTTTTGGCTTTAAATAACAGAAATTTATTTTCTCACAGTTCTGAAGGCTAAAAGTCCAAATCAGGGTTTTGACTGTGTCAGTTCCTTTTTTTTTTGATTGTGCTTTAGGTGAAAGTTTACAGCTCAAGTTAATTTCTCATACAAAAATTTATACATATATTTGTAAGTGACACTAGTTGCAATCCCTATAATGTGACAGCACATTCCCCCTTTCTACCCCGGGTTTCTGGTATCCATCTAACCAGCTCCTATCCCTTCCTGCCTTCTCATCCTGCTTTCTCAGCTGCCCATTTGGTCTCCTGTATCTGCTTGAACTAAGAAGCACACTCTTCACGAGTATTATTTTATGTTTTATAGTCCAGTCTAATCTTTGTCTGAAGAGTGGGCCTCGGGAATGGTTTTAGTTCTGGGTTAACAGTCCGGGGACCATGGCTTCGAGGGTCCCTCCAGTCTCAGTCAGACCATTAAGTCTGGTCTTTTTACGTGAATCTGAGTTCTGCTGCACACTTCTCTCCTGCTCCGTCAGGGACTTTGTTGTATTTCCTGTCAGGGCAGTCATTGGTGGTAGCCAGGCACCATCTAGTTCTTCTGGTCTCAGGCTGATGGATTAAATTTCTTTTTGATACATGTAGAACCAGAACCCAAACCCATTGCCATCAAGTCGATTCTGACTCATATGAGTAGATACATGCAGCTTAAGGAAAATTTGTTTTAATTTTTCCCATACAAAAATTTATACATACATTGTTATGTGACTCTAATTGATCTCCCCATACTGTGACAGCACACTCCTCCTTTCCACCCCTGATTCCCAATGTCCATTCAACCAGCTCCTGACTCTCTCTGCCTTCCCATCTCACCTCTGGACAGAAGCTGTCCATTTAGTCTCTTGTATCTACTTGAGCTAAGAGGCACACTCCTCATGAGTATGAATTTATGTCCCACAGTCCAGTCCGGTCCCTGTCTGAAGAGTTGGCCTCAGAAATTGTTGTAGTTCTGGGCTGATAGAGAATCCAGGGGCCATGCTTTCCAAGGTTCCTCCAGTCTCAGTCAGACCATTAAGTCTGGGCTTCTTACTAGAATTTGAGTTCTGCACCCCACTTTTCTCCTGCTCCATCAGGGGCTCTCTGCTGTGTTGACTGTTGAGGTGGTTATTGGTGGTAGCCGGGCACCATCTAGTTCTTCTGGTCTCAGGCTGATGAAGTCTCTGGTTTATGTGGCCCTTTCTGTCTCTTGGGCTAATACTTTCCTTGTGTCTTTGGTGTTCTTCATTTTCCTTTACTCCAGGTGGGTTGGGTCCAATTGATGCATCTTAGATGGCCGCTTGCAAGCTTTTAAGACCCCGGACGCCACTCACCAAAGATGCAGCACATTTTCTTAATAAGGTTTATTATGCCAGTTGACCTAGATGTCCCCTGAAAGCATGGTCCCCAGATCGCTACCTCTGCTACTCTGTCCCTCAAAGTGTTTGATTGTATTCAGGAAACTTCTTAGCTTTGGTTTAGTCCAGTTGTGCCGACTCCAAGAAAAATTTTTAAAAATTATCCTGTGTACCTCAGCTAAACCCTGCATGGTTTCACAACCTGAAGAATGTAATTGCGATGTGATGGATTGCTTTTCTGTGGCCTTTCTCACCATGGTCTTGTAACTTCCACCCAAGTGATTGGGTGGGACTGTACAAATAAGGTAATTGTGGCCCACTAAGGGGATTAGTCAGTTTGCCATCCTGCTAGGCTTAAAAGCCAATTCCAGAGCCAATTCCAGAGCAGGGAGGGGATCTCACCACCACCAAAAAAGAAGAGCCAAGAGTGGAGTGCATCCTTTGGACCCGGGATCACTGCACTGAGAAGCTCCAGGAGACAGAGAGAGAGAGAGAGCTGTAACCCTGAAGATGATGAGAAGCAATGTCAGAGAAACAGCAGCAGAACCAGGAGACTGGCAGGAGATGGCATGGTGGGCTTCCTGGCCCATGGAGTGAGAAAGTGGATTGCATTTGGGCAGGAGGCTTGCTGGAGGAGTAGGGTGCCTTGGGGTACTTATCAGCAGAGCTAAAAGAGCTTTGTAACACTTGCCTGAGCAGGGCAGAGACCAAGGGGCCAGAGAGATGCGTGCTTGCAGGCACAGCGGACAAGAGGCTGTCCTGATGGAAGAACTGTATGCTGAGCATTCCTGAACCTGAATTGTAACCTGTTACTTACCTAAATAAACTCCACAATCTTGAGTATTGTTTGTCAGTTCTGTGTGGCCATTGCAATGAATTATCAAGCCCAGCAGAGAAGTAGAGAGTGCTGTGGGAGGGATGGTTTGTGTTAGAATTGGTAAAGATGGCAGAGAGAAGAGGCATGTCAGGAATCAGCCTTGGGCTGTTGATCTTGATTCTCCTTCCCCCTCGTGAAGTTATAGGTCAGACGATGCCCCTGCCACACCATTTTTACTGTTATCAGTGTCACTGAATTATACATATAGAAATTGTTGAATTGGTGTATGTTTTGTGTATATTCTTAAGAACAGCAACAAAAAATAAATTTAAAAAATTGTTGGGAAGACACCCACCTTCTCCCAGGATGGTACACACAGTTTGCTCTGGGCTACTAACCAAAAGGTTGGTGGTTCAAACTTACCCAGCAGTGCTGAAGGAGAAGGGCCTGGCAATCAGCTTTCTTAAAGATTACAGCCAAGAAAACCCTATGGGGCACTTCTACTCTGTAGCACATGGGGTTGCCATGAGTTGAAATCAACTCAGTGGCAATGGGTTTAGGTCTTTTTGGTTTTATTTACACAGTACAGACAGGATTTTCAAGGAGAAAGTTACAGTGATTGGATGCCATTTGCTTACTTGGCAGAAGGTAGGCTATCTAAAAGGGGAGCACCAGTTCAGATTCGTTCCTTAGCCTTGCAGATCTGTAATCTATAGGTTAGTTTATGGTTACTTAATCATATGTGCTGAGGTGTTTTCCAACATTGTTATTTTAAAAAGCTCTTAGCTGATTTCCACATACAGAAACATGAAACAAGATCCATACCTCATGCCATACACAAAAACTAATTCAAAATGGATCAGGGACCTAAATGTTAAATCTAAAACCGTAAAGATCTTAGAAGAAAATACAGGAAAGCTTTGGGACCTAATTTTTTTAAATAAGAGATTATCAAATGCAACAGAAAACAAAATCGATAACTGGGACCTCATAAAAATTAATTACTTAACGTTTGTCAAAAGAGTAAAGAGATAACTCACAGACTGGGGAAAAAACTTCGGGAATGATATAGCTGATAAGGGTCTAATATCTAAAATATATAGAAAACTTCTACAACTTAACAACATAAAGACAAATACCCCAATCAAAAACTGGGCAAAGGACATGAACAGACACTTCACCGCAGAGGATATTCAGATGACCAACAGACACATGAAAAGATGCTCACCTTCATTAGCCATCAGAGAAATGCAGATCAAAACCACAGTGAGATTCTATT